ATTCTCTAGAAAATCCTAAGTCCGCCATAAAGCGTCCCCGCTGCTCGGAGACATTAGCAAGACGCATATGCATGCACGTGACACACAGCTATAGATATACCCCCGTGCAAGCGATTCTCCAACACATTATAACCACACCTGCCCTCTTGAGCAGCTAACCAGCTGCTCGGCTGCCCGACTGGCCCACTACTCGGCAGAGTCTTCGCGTTTCCACGCTCGGCAGCTATACACGTACCAATTACCCGCACCTATCCTGCACCTCTGGCAAACCCACCGCCAAAGAGCAGCTGAACAATGCGTCAAAGGTACTCGAGGAACGGTAATGGAAAGCGAGGCAAACGTAGAAACACGGAATCGGTTTTCCTGTGAAAGTAACGAGCCGTAGCCGCTGATGCTTCGGGTATCCGAGTACAAAGACATCCCAGGAAGTAGGATAGTACATACAGAGTTACAGGCGAAGGTACTTTCGAGAACAAGTCGAATTATCGGTCCGACGAGTTCTCAGCCCGACGGAGAACGAAGAGCGGCGCCGTTCGGATTCGCCTTCGTCCGACGACTGTTCGCGAGGAAAGTTAAGTCGGAATTGTGTTGGCGGGCGGGCTGGGGGCAGGGACTACCAGGAGCCGTGGAGACGCGTTATTGTTCTAAAGTAATCGTCGACACAGAAAATGCATACCCGTCGTTCAAGCCCAAAATTCGGTGTCCTGGAATAGATATGAATTGAAGATTTTCGTAAAGGGAGAGAGGGGAACGAGAGGCGAGAGAAACGAAGGTACTACGATTGTTGGGTTTGTTGGTGCCGCTATTGAAAGGGGCTGCTACAACGAGGGGAGTGGCTAGGTTAAGGGGATGAATTCTCTCGAGGGTAAGGAGAGAGGAGAGTAAACGCGAAGACGAAGGATCCCGGTTCGCCATGTGCACTCGTGCGGAATTAACGTCTTACAAAGCCATCGTCGGGCCGCTTTCTCTCTAAGTCATATATATATATATATATATATATACACACAACAAAGTCGACGATTTGGCGGCTGTCCTATTTCTTTACGACACCCTGAAAGATTAACGAGCGATGCACATCCAGGAGGCGTTCGGGCGCCATAGCGGCTGCCTGCATCCCTGCATCTATCAATTTATTAAGCGCCCACCCCGAAGGTAATGCCAGCGCCGCCTAGCGGGAAACGAGGGCACTCGATCGAGCTTCTTTCCCGGCATTCAAGTTTTACTTAAATCTTTTATTTTTCACCCTCCAATCAAAATCCTATAGCTTTCGAGTATTTGCTAATACCCTTCTGCGCTCTTGCTATTTATATTCTCTCCCTGTATCGTCCTTCCTTCCCTCTCGTCTCTCCCTCTTGATATCCGCCGGAACCAATAGCCAGCCTGCTACGTTTAATATTATCGTGATACAGTACAGGTGCTTGTGCAGGATTCAGTTAATTCCGCACGGTTCGTCCATGCATCGCGGGTTATTCCGTTATTCGAGGTTATGTGTAATCGCATACGATTAAAAGACGTGAATGGGGATTGATTGTTTAAAAAAAAGAAAAAAAATTATCGATCGATCGCATTGCACAGCGAACGCGGCGGTGCAACCACGGTGAAGAATCCACGGCTGCAGGCTAATGCACCGGAGGTACGGCGTACATATAGAATCCGATCGGACTTTGATAAGGCTTATCCAAGCTATGGAGAACGGGAGAGAGAGAAAGGGAGACGGACTATACAGAATGTACCTGTATATAGGGAGAATGTACCTGTATATAGGGAGAGAATCAAGAGTCAAGAGATGGGCAGCTATGCAGAGAGACCGAGAATGATTATAAGGTGGGACCGGCTTCGAGCCGGTAATTAAGATCGGTAATGGCTAATTAAGATCAGGGACCTTCCGCATCCCGAAGTTCTCCCGCTGCCGTTCGACCGTTCAGCGGTTCGCTCTGTCCATTCCTCTTCTCCCGCTTTCACCTCCTTTCTCCATAACCCATCCGCGCCAATCCAGGGACGCTCGGACGGGCGCAATTAT